AACTTATAAGTTTCTTCGTGGTTTTCTGCTCAGGATACGTGACACATCTGCCGATGGTGTTTTTCACTTAGCGATTTTAGCTTTACTCAACACTCGGCAAACTTTGATTGCTTTTCACTAGTGCTCGCCAAGGTTACCGGTAAGTCAAAAACGACTTCTATATAACGCAGTATTTGCTTCATCATGCCCGATCCCGGCATTAGCCATGTAATAAAGTAATACTTTGCTGCTCGGGCTGCAAACCACAGCACAGTATTTAATTCATCGTGCCTGCTCACAGAGCACGTCGCATAATAGAGTGCTTTGTTGCCTGTTTTGTTCTTCTTCGAGTTCCAAGTGGCCTTCGACTTTTACTACATACCAAGGTATCGGCTTACTTAAATTGATAGTTGATGAACTCTTCACAAGTCAGAAGTGTTATAGTGCATGAGGTTTGCACCAGAAAAAAGGTTGACTAGGTTATAATAGAGTCAATTATTATTATTATTATTATTATTATTATTATTATTATTAGATACGGAAACATGTTTTACAGGTTTAACAGACATCCGCGTGAAGATCAAATTGAAAGTTTAAATAAATACATAATGACGCTAAAATTTTAAAATTATTATTATTATTATTATTATTTATTTATTTATTGATTTATCTTTTTATTTCCCGAGTTAGAAAATAATATTTTCAAAGTTTGGCGAATAAAACAAATTTCGAGGTTATCAGTGCCTAGCCTTGTAGCCAAATCAACCTTTAAAAAAACGTCTGAGTTAAACTCTACGAAGGTGGGATTCAAAATTTCAGGTTCAAACTGATCGTTATGTTCATACCTTGAAAATGACAACTTTCTGAGGAGAGATTTCGACGACATAGCGTGCGTTCAGATTCCTTGGAGAGGCAGAAAACACCACATAAATTGTTCCCTTTGACGCCGCAGTAAAGTGGAGGCATTTTCCTTTCATATTCACGAGATCTATACGAAGAATATTGGACCATTCCGCGTGACATGGCACATTATCGGCGGACGCCTGAGTGGCCAAGCGTATTTTGTTCCTCTTGTTTGCACCTTCTCTGTTCACAGATTCGACCCTGGCTAGAGGTTTTCCTTTCATGTCAGCGGCAAGTGTAGGAAACACCTTCTTTGAGGGCTGGAAATCTTCTTCGTCTAGGAGCAAGCTGCCATCCTTTTCATTGTAGAATAACGTCAAACCAAATATGGTCATTCTGTGTTTTCGAGGGTCGTTGGTTGCACCACTAAAACCGCTGTACAGATGGAATGCATTATCGCTGTCACTTGTGTACCACTCGCCGTTCCTGTTATAGGGAAAACATCATTGACTGTCAGTACTCACTGGACTGTTTTTCAACTTAACAAAACAAATGCGTTTCGCTAACACATGATCCGGCAGCATATCTTTCTACTGAATATCCTTTTTTACAATTACAAAAGGTTCACGCACGCCTTTGTTTACTTAAGTTTTTCTTTGGCAGGGGTTGAGTATTCAGGCATATACTGGGAAACGGTTTTCCTTGTAAGACCGTTCTAGGAATTCGGTAAGTTGAGGAGCAGCAAGTACATCAGTAAGCGAAACATTGACGAGGCTGAGTAACTTGCCGTTCTTCGCGCCACCCAGCTCCCAACTAACCGAATGGCTCCATCTGTCTATGACCGTCTAAGTCTGATTAACCAAATTGAAGTGAATGCGTCTTTGCAATCAAAGGTAGCACTAATGTTCGGTTACACGTGGTAAAGCCTTGGTAGCGGTACGTTTGGTGAGAATCAGTTTTGGTGGTAACAATCTGAAAGCGCTTTTGTACCTTGTGGGAGA